TACAATAATTACAATGACGCACAAACTTTTTATGAACAAAGTTTTATCAAAAGAATGTCAAAAATCGGAGACAAATACTGTAGATAAAATTAATTCATCTATAATCAATTGTTGAGATGTTCTATATAGATATATTGTATTATGTCTAGACGTATGTTATCTTTCCCTTAGCCAGTGGAATAATGAAATCGTAATTAATACATAGAAATTTATACAGAATCAGTATATACAACTTAAAACTTTAGAGCAGTGGTTTCCAAAGTTTTTTAAAGGCGCTCCCTAAAAAAATTCTGTGTTGACATAAGTGTATACACATTTAAAATAATACAACAAAAATATACTTCTGTATTCGTTAACTTCCAATGATCAGTGCATTAATAGAAAGAAATGATTAATAAGTTTACATTTTTCCACATTTACAATTTTGTTTAGCGCCCTCTACTTTGTGAAACACTGATTTACGGTGTTAAATATAATGTTTAACATAATAGATTGCTTTATATATTGAATTAAGAAATTCTGTAATGTGATCGTGTATTTTTGACCGTTTCTAAAAATTTGTTAAAAGTTGTTTATATTTTAACCGCTAGGGGCGGGATGGCATGTGTTTAGGAAAACACTTAGTGTGAAGATGATTATTTTCTATTGACTTCGTTGATCCTATAATGTAGTATTTTCATCACTCTTTGAATGTTACGAAATATGTAACTTTGATGTGCCTTTAGGACTAATTTCTCTTTGTTATAAATCTAATATTTATCTAATTCTGTTAGAAGTGATCTACGATATTTATAAATCCTAATAGAAATAATATACCTGTAACTCGTACTATGACGTTTTTTTTTATTTTAATCATGTTTTTATAATATTTATTTCATTTATACGAGAATGTGTATTACTCGAGCGTTGAGACCATTCGTTTTTTTCTGATTACATTTTACAATGTATAATATAATGTATTAATTCTTACTTTTAAAAAACCCAAAAGTTAATTATTTTACTCGGGGATTAATTCATCTTTATTGATTTCATAACAATTTTATGTACATATAATTTATAACCCATTTTCAATTTATATAAGACGAAATAATAAGAAGCTGTATAACTGTTAGAAATATTGAATCAAAACAACTTCTAAAAATATATATCTTAATCGGGTATTTAATATTTTAAAATTACTCCTTCTCGTAGTGAAGAAATTATACATGAGTAGTGAGTAAAAACATGAGTCTAGTTATTTGTTTATATATACATTTTTGAACTATTAAAAAATATTTGTTAAGCATTGTATTTACGGTACCTTAAAAACTAAAAACGGTGTATACTTTTTAACAAATAGATTCAACAGTTTTGCATGCCTTCATATAATTTCAAACTCCTTATTCAACCTAGTAAGGTCTCTGAAATAACAAATAATATTACATGTATAATGAACTTTTGTTGAAAGTATTGATAAAGATGTACCTGCTTTCTATAGCTTCGTTTAGATTGCATTTGTGCATCAACGAAACAACGAGTTTTAACGTTGACCAAATGGTATTTGACATTGCTTTTGGCAAGAAGCTTTCACCCTGTGTTCCGCGACCGGCAGCTTGTTGATTTAAAGCCGTTAAGAGATGTTCACCTGCTTCTCTGCAAGAAAATAAATAATTTCATAACAAGAAAGAAATAATTTATTGAATTAATCTTCTTGAAATTATAATATTATTTATTATAAATTAGTTTGCTTACTTATATGCACCAAGATTAACACAAGAAATACCCAGATTATAACGTGCTCTAATAAATCCGGGCGATAATTTTAAGGCACGGTGGTATGCGTTTATGGCTTCTTCTGATTTTTGACCATTAGCCAAAGTTGCACCTAATCTGTTCCACAATCTGGAGTCCTTCTCAAAACATTATATTTTTAAGAATATATTTATAACATTTTAAATAAAGTACGAAAAGCTTCATTTCATACATACATTAGGTCGCACTTGTAACGCTGCTTGGAAACAATCGCAAGCTTTATCATATTCATTGGACAAATTAAAAAGTACTCCCAAACCACACTGCACATCAGCATCTATTTCTTCCCGAGGATTCATTCGTGCAGCTTGAATATAAAGATTTTTTACTTCTTCGTGTAAATCACTAAACAGAAAAAAATATAACAATATGATTAAGAATGATTTCTCTATATATGTTATTAAAACTATTAATTTCTTACTCAAATAGAATGGATGATACACTGGATTTTGGATGTTGATCAATTTTAGTCTTCTTTACTGAAAGATACTTGTATTTTTCATTTTTTAATAACCACTCTTTTAAAGTTAAACATGCTTGATTTTGATAAGACTCATTTGTATACGAAACTGCAAGGGCCATAAGAGCAGCACTGTTCGTAGGATCAAGAGTCAGGCAGCGTTTTAAAGCGGAAATAGCTAACGGATCTTGTTCATTTTCAGCTTGAGTTTTACCAAGAAGTAACCAAGCTTCTGGATCATCTTCATTTTGTTGCACTGCTGCTTCAAAACAAAGTATTGCACTTGGTAAATCTCCAGCTTCTAATCTCTTTTTTCCTTCTTCTAGTGCATTAGGTACATTCTTCATAGGATTTTCCTCGTGAAATTCATATTCTTTGAATGGATCATAGAATCTATCATACTCCGAAAGCCATGGATGCTTTGTGAGTATTTCCTCGGAAGATGATATTTTATCCCATTCATTTTGAAGTCGTAAAAATTCAGATTCGTAATTGTCTGCCTCTAAAATGATAATTATTAGCTAAAAATATATCTTGAAAATGACATAAAAATCAAATTAATATTAACATACACACAGACCTGAAGAAACATTTTCTTCTTGAAATTCATCTATCCATCTGCCAGCAACAGCTATTTCTCCTTCTTCTACCTTATCCACAATTTCACCCTCTTGATCACTATTACTAGAAGCTTTGTCTTCAGACTTTTCATTATTGTTTTCAAATTGTTCCGTCCACTCATCGGACGTGGTATGAAAATCTGGCAGTGATTCTTCATTACTATCTACTGGAATATCTCCTTCTTGTTTCATAAATTTCATAAACTTTGAATATGCAAAGTTAGGATTATCATTATTTTCTATCGCTTGCGTTGTATCTTCCTTTTCAATATCATTTTGTATAGCATCTATGCTATGCTCAATATATTCTTCTGCCCATTTTGGTCCTAAACCTAATTCGTGCGTTTGTTGAATCAAAATGTTTGGATTCTGTTCAATTTCTGGATTCCAAATATCATCAGTATGATGTTCCTATATTAAGAAAAAGAAAATGAAATATTTGTGAAATATTTATATACTGTGTATATATGTATATGCTGCAATAATGTAACAAGGATTACATTAAAGTGGCGCCCTGATTCAAGATACTGATTTGCCCAAGCTGTATCTAAACCAGTTAATTCTTGAGCTACTCCTGGTGCTGCTATAGGTGGATGAATGTTTTGATCAATTTCACGCATTTCTTGTAATAAATTATCCATTCTAAATGTCTGAGGACACGAAGGATTCTCTTCTAAAAATTGTTTAACTAACTGATCTGAGTCTGAAGCTTGAAAAGGCTCCACAGGCCCAAAAGGGCGATGTATTCCTTCTTCTTTGAACCCATGATCACGTACAAAATGTGATGTAAGATGAATCAGAGAACTAGGTCCTCCACAGTCACCCTCCACTAATTCACGAAATGCCATTTTTTTTTTATTATTAAAATTTACCTGTATCAATCCAAATAAAATAAGTTTAATTTGAGAAATCATAATTAACACTAACAATACACATTAACATGTAATGTTCATATATAACTCATACATGCATGTATATGTATACATGTACACATACATGCATGTATATGGACCTTTGTAACTTTACATTCTGTAACTCCTGATTATCACATTTGGTAAAACAGTAAAATATACAATCAAGTAACAAAAACTTTATTAAGAACCCAAGCTGTGTTAATTTTTATGGAATGGCATTAATTCTATTTATTTGAATAGGCATTAAATATCTAAGTAAAACGCAGCTGAGACATAAAATAAAATGTTTATTGCAATATTTTGCTTACACAACGTTAAAAGTTCAGTGATATTTATGCCTCTATCAGATAAAAAAAAAAAACAGTAATCAGAAATTTCGCGTGTTTATTAAGAAATAAAGCACACAAACCTTTTTTCGTTACAGATGTAACTTTGTATTTTGATGATATCGTTGACGTTACACTAAAAACGTGTTTTTATGTCAAACACACTCCGTTCAGGATTGTTCATTTCCCTGGCATCGGACAATATCGACAACACGCACCGAATAAATTCCGCTGTATAATGGTGGGGTAAGCGGAATTATCATAGCAAATGTAGTACGTGTTAACGTTTGATACTAACAAGATGCATATCATAAAGACATTGTACACGAACAGTTGGCGCATGAACGTCAAATCATCGACAAGTTGTTGAACGACGTAAAGTCGTGAACATCTTTTCTGTAACGACTAATACATTCCTTCTATTACCAATGTAAAATTTCAAATGATAAGAATTAGAAAAATTGTCCTCTGTTATTAAACGAAAACCTTATCTACCGATTGGTTATATAACTAATTAAAGTTGCTATGAATATTATGTCCACATTTTATGTCTCTTTGTGCACCTGACGAAGATATGAGATTGTCGACGATACAGGAGATCATTTTTAAATTGGACACATTCCACGAATGGCGACTGAGACGCTTTTGTCGTGAAATCGATGCTAATTAGCAATTATATTAAACAAATTTATTTTATTGTTACTGAATTAAACATAATGAAGCGTTATTCAGCATATTTGCGAAATATTTTCGAATTATGCTTAGTCGTTAAAACTGGACAAAGTCGTTTTGGAATATGAAATTCTATCGCAACGCCATCACACGATTATTTTGAGAATTCACATTTATGCAACTTCTGGAAAATGTATCGTGTTTATCGTGTCTAAGTTGTTCACATTCATTGTTACAAGGAATTAGTATTTGAGAGTGTATTTCAGACAAATTTAGCGTATTCCACGTATTTGCTGCTATAAATGAAATTATAGCGACGAAAGATTTAAATATGACTGACTTTGCAAAATCTCAGCTTATGAAATATGGATGGACAGAAGGTATTGTCATTAAAAAATCATCATACTGCATCATACAAATTATATTACTATAGTATAAATATTTGGTGTACACAATCTGTTTGAAGTACGTGTTTAACCTTTGTACCATGTTATGTCAATGTATTGAAATTTGAATAAATGTGTACAATTTAAAAATTGCATTCATCAACTTTATAAGCTTCTATATATGTTATTGCTTTTTAAGGAAATATTACTTTTACGTTGAAACAGGTAAAGGTTTAGGTAAAAATGAAAGCGGTATCACACAAGCATTGAAACCAAAATTGAAATTTGATACAGTGGGAATAGGACATACAGATAAGCATTCGAAAGAATGGTGGGAGATTGGTTTTAATAATGCAGCTAATAATATTGTAGTGGAATCACAAGCACATGGTGTTCTTATATTTGCTTCAAAGGATAGTACCAGTGAAAATTCTAAGAATGATTTGAAATGTAAATATGTTGGAGACTATAAAAGTTTTCTTAAAACTTCAACACTTCTTGATGGCAACTTAATAAAAGAAGAGAATTCAAATGTACTTGAAGTAAACAAAATTGAAAAGGATATAACGCATATTTCTTTAACAGATGAAGAATTATTTAAAGCATGTGGGGGTAGAACTGCTCATAAAGGAGCTAGGCATGGTCTAACATTGAATGGAAAATTGAAAAGAATAGCACAACAAGAAGAACATTTATTAGGCACAAATATACGTATAAATATGTCAGATGAATTACAAAAACATAGTAGTAAATTTGAAAAGAATAATTTTGTAATAGATAATAATGAAAATACAGTGTCACCTACTTCTAGTTTTCCTTCTGAAGAACAAAGTATTTCAAAGGTGTCAAAGAGTACAAAGAAGAAAAACAAAAGACGAATAAATGACTTAAACCATCAGTTAAATATTTTATGCAATATAAGTGATGATAATGAAAGAAATAAAAATAATTCTTCGGATGATACCAGAGCTAGTAAGATCTCAAAATTGAAAAGAAAAAAAAAGAAAAGAAAGTATGTAATGTCTGATGATATTCAAACTGTTAAAATAGAGCAAGGAGATAAGAAATTTGATGATGTATCATTTCCTGTAAGTCAAAAACTAGATAAAGAGATGATCATGAATGAGACTCCAGAACAAATAAATGAACATTGTCTAAAAGAATCTGATGATAAGTCTACCCACAAAAAAGTAAGAAAAAAATCGAAAAAAAAAATAGATCAAGATTACAAGGATAAAGACATAATTAATACACCTACAGACCTAATACTGGACTGCTCTCAGGGAAAGAAATTTAAAAAGACACATAAAGAAGATTTAAATATACAACACTCTGCTGAAGATGAAGACATTAATATGTACCAATCTGAATTACAATCAGAACCATCTTCACTCCTATATTTAAAGTCTCCTGATACATATTTTAAAAAGGAGGCAGACAAACTTAATGCTAGAATATCAAAGAAGAAAAAGGCAAAACTTCTGAAAAAAGAAAGAAAAAAATTAGATACAATAACAGCAAATTTAGAGGCTGTTTCTTTTAATTCTGAGGAACTTACTAAAAAAAATTATAGTAAAAACAAATTAGATATAATAGTACAAAAAATTGTAGAAACTAATATTGCAAAAGATAAAACTAAGTCTTTAAAAAAAATTAATAAAATAAAAAATCATACCTAAATATGTTACTATATACAATAATTACCTTATTGAATATACAAAATATATTGTATATATTTGTATTTTCCAGATGTATGATTCATATTTTTATTTAAATATATCATTAATTGAAATTTTTGTTGTTACTTATTCCTTCTTAACGAAATAGGAATAATCTATGTTTAAATTTACAATTACTTTTAATTTTAGTTCAATTTCAAATAATACATATATCTTTATTTCAAAACCTTTATTTAATACAGCAATAGAAATAAAATTTGAACATCAAAGTACATAATGTTGTTTTTATTACAGTTTTAAATATTAAGGATATTTGAATATAAAAAAATCACAGTTTTGCAAATTCTGAATATCATTCTCTCTTTCTATTTTACAATTATCACTAGACCACATAAATGTCTGATAATTCAATAGAAGCAAATGTTTAAAAAAATCAAGTCTGTTTAAAAACTAAATAGCGATTTATAGAGGATTATGTACAACAAATATATAATTAATTAATTGTTATTTAGCACCAAATTTTGCAATGTGGTAGGAGTTTATTAAGCGCTAGAGCAATGTATTTGTACAAAATAAAACACAATTTTCTAAGGCCACTAAGATATTCCACAGTTATTAGTAATTCTAATTTCTTTCACAATTAGTAAACCAATTGCATTTGATAAGGTAAATCAATTTAAAAGTTTGAATTTTTATTACTTAATTGATTTAACTATTGACACACTAAGTTAAATACCCTATAATAGGATCATCAAGAAATGCAATTTTTGTATGCATATTATGATTATGAATCAGATGATAGTGACTTCAGTTAATCAGAATATTAAAATGCGTTTGTTAATATCATCATCATCATTATACAATGTATATGTCTGAATTGATACATCATAATGAACTCTTACAAAATTTTATATTATATAATCATAGCATACATTAGGCTACATCGAATTCTTAATTGCTAAATGTAAATCGTTGATACTTATAAATAAATATCATTGTACAGCCTTATTAGTGGTATTATGCACAAGATACATTCATCATGAATTGGATGAATGAACTTACTACTTCTAATATTTTAATAATGTAATCAATAAATGACAGGTACTAAATTCAAAAATTGTACAATTAAATTTTTTAAACAATCACAGTACCTAAACGTGGAAAAAATATCGATATTATTTTATAAGTAGCATCGCGAATATGCAGATTTTACATAAATAATTTTTTTCGAAAGGAATCGACTGTAAAAAGCTATTAGCATTAAGTATAAATAGCAAAATATATATTTATATGTATTCATATAACAATTCTTCTAGAACGTGTAAAAGTCAATTATTTATTTTAAAGAAACTTCTTTTTGTTTAGGCGATTAGTGTAATGTAATACACTTCTAACATATTTTATATATTTTTCGTAATATCATTATACTTATGCAGATAAATACAATAATTAAAAAATTCATTACGAGCTTTTTAAAAAAAATGAACGTCATTTAATATAATACTTATTGAAAATATCAGATATTTTATCGTAATACGGAATGTTAAATATATTGCTAAAAAAAAGGTTTCAATTTTTATAAAAATATGAGGACAATTCGAAATAAAATACAAACATTGAAGTCTTTTTACACAAATTAAAAGCTTATATAAGTATTTAACTACGTCTGTTAAAGTTAATGAGATTCTAACGGAAGCGTGATAAAGTTAAGGACAACGTTTGGTTATCGTAGTTTTGTAAAGTATCCTTAGTATTACATACTAATGTTTCAGATCATTCTGTGTTAAATATCGTACAGTCACTTCAGATCTTTGAGATTATCTTTTGTAAATCACAATTTTTACGATACTTTTATAACATCGGCTGTATTTGAAACCTGCGTCGTAATTTTTAAAATAGTTTCTGGTTGGATCGGTTAAAAATATGTTTAAAACTTAAATGAAATATTTTGACTACGAGAACTGATATTTTGTATACGAGATATTTACGAGTATGTATTTTTAATAATGGTTCTATGTGATATATATAAACATATACCATTTTAATATCTATGGGAAGTAGCTGATAAGATATGAAATTAACGAAATTCTTTGTTTTAAGTGTAATTCCTAATTTTTCACACAACGGTCAAACGCATGTTCGGTACTTAATTATCCAAATTTTATGTAAGTAGGCAAAGAAGTTAATTACTCACACAGGAAATCTAATTGACAGCGTTTCCTTAAAACCTACTACTATTCAAATGGAAAAATAGTGTATAAAACCTTCAATTATTTATTAAATATCAGTTACAAATCTTTCTTGCAGTAAAAATACATGGAAGGTACAATAGAGTATAGCAAAGAAACTAGTACAAGAATTGGTTAAAGTTCGAGATTTAAAAATTTAGAAGCATATTCACGTTTATTAAAAATCTTAATAAAAGTATCTTTTATGATAATTGATTGAGAATACTAGGTGATTTATTTTGGAACTTTTCTTAGTATTCATTGATTTGCTTATTTTTAATAAACATTATATCGATAATAAATAATAGGTTTAATATTAAAAATTCTATTTACTTTATACACACTTATTAACAGTTCTTCTTTTCACTATATAATATCCAACATTTCTACCATTTCTACTTAAAGTAACTGATTTTTTATCAGTATGAGAGTGTTTACTGCAAGAAAGATTTGTATCATTTAGTTTGCTCCATATCACATACATATTAGACACATTAACTTTGTGCGTTGTGATAACATTTTTTAATATGCAAGGATCCAATTTCCTTGGAACATAACTAAAACCAGGATGATTTACAGGTCGTATTTTTGCACGTTTTGCACAAAGACCTGTGATATAAACATCTTCTAAATGAAGCAGTGGTGTTGTTAATGCTGTTTGATACAATTTAAATGCCACATCTAGGCTCATCACATACCCCGTACCCGATAAATAATTAGGATATATTGTCTCTGAATACATATATTTTGGTGCATACCTAAACAAACAGACATTGATGGACTATGTATATATACATTTTACTATATATATTTATCCTGTGACAAAGTTTTACTTACCATTTGTTATTTGGATCTAAAATAGGCTTTGCATTGCAAATAAGAGAACCTAATAATGTATTGGTAGCTTGCGATCTTGATTGTAATGTCTTCATTAAAATAGGAATATTTACAAACATATCATCGTCTGTTTTCATGAGGTACTTAGCTTGACCACAATTTGATGTTATCCATTTCAACATCATTACAGACTTTAATGTTAAGTTATTATATGTATCATAAAATTTTTCTTGGATAATATCATTGAATTGATGACTTTCTTCAGCTATTATGCTCTGTAAAATAATTTATTTTCAAATTTGTTATCAAAGCTTTCATTTATTAAGCCCATTACTTTATACAACTACGTACATTAATTGTATCGTTGTCACTTTCTCCCAAAAGAAATGCTATCCTCACTGTTGAATTATATATACTATCTAAATTATTTCTATTAGCCCAAGTATTTCTTATAGCTGCACGGGCTTTGAGATTCATAACAGCCGAACAAATAACTATTAGGAGATACAGCGGTGGAGAACAAATACCAGTAGGACTTAAAACTGAGGTTGTATTTTCTGGATGAATATATAAACAAAGATCTCTTGAAGTATTATATGCCCATCCTGGTAGCTGTGCTGTAAATGGATTTTTTAAAAATATTTTGTTCTAAATCTTATAAGTAAAATTATAATAAAAAATTCTTCCCCTTAAATTTTGGCTTTGTGCATGCTAATAGAAATAAATATTCAATCAACTTCAGCATCACTCAAGCACACTATGAGTATATTTTCATGATTTAGATTTATACCAAAGTTACAATTTTATGTACACAGTTAGAAAGCACAAGTTCTTATCCTCTAGCAGACAATGACCAGCTTCGACACTGTTCCCTAGAGGGTAAGAATTAATATTCTATGGTATAGGTATATAAAAGTTATAACTTTGGTGTAAATCCAGATTATGTAAATGTACTCTATAATGAATATAAAGGAGAAGAAAAATTATATGATTTGTGCTAATACTCTCTCTACCATCAAAAATTAATTTTTATTTGTTGCTAAAATTTATGATGTACAGAATAAAACAAATTATCTATAATTGTTATTATAATGATGATATTTATTTTATTTATTGATATTTTGTATTTATAATACATAGACATTTTTATGTAAATGCTATATGTATCAAAAGTTTCAATTTTTTAGGCTTACATCATTAGATTTTAAAGATAAATTATGACTATTATTTCTTTCATATTTATTGACTTTACAAAAGAGAAAGTTAAAGCAAAATCAATTAAGAAAAAAAAAAAGATCAGTTAGTTTATATTGCAATACAACTTTGAGCAATGTTAGTGAATGCATACCAACGGAGGCTACCAAGTGCGAAACACCAATAGATTTTGCAGGGGACGGAGTCTCACCTAAGCCTGAGAATGGGCTTTGGGCAGAATGATATGCTGGCACATATAATAAACCTAGTGTAGCCAAAATAACAAATCCTACTGCTAATCGTCGAACAAATGAAACTTTTCCTTTAACTGTTCCATTAGTGTTTATATTGGTGGCTGATGGCAATTCCAATGGCAATAGTCGCAATCTGTCCATCTAAGCACAAATAATATGTCTTTTCTTATATCAAGTCAATAAAAAGTAAACTTCATTATTTCAGAAGAAAAGATTACATAAGCAAAGTAATTACTTAAAAGATCAACAAACATTTGTAATAATGTTAGAGAACCAAATGAATGTTCCATTGTGAAAACGAATGGAACAATAAATCAAATGTTATGACATCCTTAGAAATGATTTAGCTTTACATAGTGAAGTCAAACAATTGTTATAACGAGAATCAAGCTTTTTACAATGCTTTTCTTAAAAAATATATCGATTGAAATGTGATGTAAACATGTTCAATTAAATTACAGATGTATATAAATCACCTCACTAAATGAATTTTTTACGAAAAGTCGGCGCGACAACTTTCGCATGTAAGTATTATTCATTTTCTTAGGCATTCGAAATAACGATTCTCTTTCTGAATGATATTCTTCGATACAATGAAAATTCCATACAAAAGTTCCAATATACCTGTCAAGTTGAATGCAGACTCTGTAAACAAGCTTACCTTTGAGATGTGATTACTGCGTTACTGTGCTGCATTTGACATATCTCCATTTACTTTTGTCGTATGATGAAATTTACGACCTATTAAAGAGTATCACACAATTTTGATAACACATGTCTATGGATGAATTACAAAAAAAAATAAAACGAAAGGAGCCACTTCGCTCCAATCTCACTCCGTGCTTCCAAGCACACTGACACACGGAATTACATCGAAACGGTTTGTCAAAAAATTCAACCTGTAACTAAGTAGCTAACCTCACCTAACCTCTCTGACTAACCAGACCACCAGAGGGCTATGGAGGGCTACGGATTATAGTGTTTCCTGAATTATCAACACTAAAGAATCAACTTTTAATTACCGTAGTTTATACTTATCGTATTGTACAGTTTTTTCATTATTACTATCAATATTCAATATTACTATCATTAACGAGAACGTATACAAAGATCAGAAGAGAGTAGCGAAAGTACAAAGTTTGTGAAGAGATTTGAAAATATTGGAGCGTTTATTAGTTTAATTTTTATCGTTGTTTTAATATTGATTAAACCGATTGTGAATACGTGTCTCTTCGATACTGTGATGTTTAAGAAAAGTTAGTTATATTCTTGTCGCATATTTAACATATTTTAGATTCGAAATTTCAATCGTCTCGTATATATACAAATGAACATAAATTTTCGGTGTAGAAAAAACGAAATTACCGTTGATCTTGTTAACTGATCATCAGTCATGATTAAAGCTATTCTAGTATTCAATAATCATGGGAAACCTCGACTTTCGAAATTTTATCAATATTTTGTAAGTATAACAAAGTAATTGGATTTGGATGCTATTGTTGATTCTCATTGTTGAATTTAATAGGAACTGTTTTTCAGAACGAGGATATGCAACAGCAGATAATAAAAGAAACATTTCAACTAGTTTCAAAAAGAGATGATAATGTCTGTAATTTTTTGGAAGGTGGAAGTTTAATAGGTGGATCCGATTACAAGTTGATTTATCGGCATTATGCAACATTATACTTTGTATTTTGTGTTGATAGTTCAGAATCAGAGTTGGGAATTTTAGACTTAATACAAGTCTTTGTTGAAACATTGGATAAATGTTTTGAAAATGTTTGTGAATTGGATCTCATCTTCCATGTAGACAAAGTTCATTACATACTTAATGAATTAGTGATGGGTGGAATGGTTTTAGAAACTAATATGACTGAGATACTAACAAGAATTGAAGATCAAAATAAATTGGAAAAACAAGAGGTAAGTCAATTTTGATGGTTAATATTCAACAGATAAATACATGTTTGTACATTTTTAAGCTTTTGTCGTATAGTTTGATCATGAGTATCAAAGATGATAAATTTTGTATACAAAATAGCAGTGCACCGTGATAAAGTTTAATTTGGTTAGTCACAGTTGTAATAACCAATTTACGTAAATATCCCTTAACTTTTTGGGCCCAATTAAATTTTAGTAGAATCAAACATTTTTGGCAAAATGAAATCATAAGTAAAATGACATAAAACTTCACCAAGAGTAGCTGTTTGGGCTTGAAGAAGTTAACAGCCTATAGCAGTTTATGCGTTAGCTGTGCATGCATTGGAATGTTTTGTAGAGCAATTTCATATGGTGGTAGGACTGATTGACCTAACATGAATTTTAGGGAACTTACAAATCAGGACGATCTTGCTCACCTCGTCCGTTTGTCCTTCTGGGGCCCCCTCCCTAAGTAAATCGGCAGTAAAGAGATCAAACCATTTTGTACACTTTCATTCCTTTGTATAGTTTATCTGTGATCCCTTTTGTTTTCTATTTCACAAAAGATTTCAAAACAAATTTTTCGTAGCTTTACAAAATAAATACTCATAACACGCATGACGGTGCTATCGTTTGTACATGTCTGCTCGGATAACAGTGCCTTAATGCAAATGTATACGTCGCTATGCTCTAAGAATAAAATATGTATTGCGTAGCTACTCATTTGTCTTTACTTCTACTAATTAATTTTAGTTCAAAAATCCTTTAAATTTTTCCGTTTTCCATTTTTTTCCATCCATATGGTATGTGCAGGCAGGAATCACAGCAGCACCAGCGCGTGCTGTTTCTGCTGTCAAGAATATGAATATACCGCAACAGATAAAGGATATGAAGTTACCTGACTTGCCGCAAGCTATAAAAGATCTCAAATTCTGACCAGCCGTTACTTCGTTGGCCCCAAGCTGACTGGTTTCCTCTACAATTTCAAGTGCAAGTCCTACAGCAAGGGTTTTTTTCCCCTCTCTTCAAGTGAATGAGAATGTACCAATACTCTCTGCAAACTCTTCGTATGGTCCCATCTCATCAGTACAAGAATTAGAAAGTGAAGAGTGTTTTAAGCTTTAAGGCTTGTAGAGATCATTTCTATATTGAAGAGGATTTTGATTATCAAATTTAATGAATGTTTATATCTGGCTTCGAAAAAGCAAGGGTTTGAAGTAACTGAAATACTATTTTCATTCAAAAAAGGTAAAGATTTATAAACTTAAATGTACTGATACTACATTTTACAGAAGTTACATCATTCTTATATAATACTAAAAAAAAGTATATTTCCATTATAGTATAACTCATAATTCCATTTTGTTTGATATATCCGAAGCAGTATAGTTAGTATTATCTCATTTGTGAACATTTCCATTTAGTTATCATCAAAGATGTTGGATATTGTTGTTATATGTATCAAACAATTACCAAATAAATGTTCTAATACTGCATGTCAATTTTTATTTTTTAAGAATTATCAAGAAATCTAGGTATATTTTCAATGTTTTTGTACCATCTTTTAAAATAGGATTCTTTATTATTTATATCTATAAGAAATTAAACAAAAATTTTGATAGATATAAAACAAATTTACAAAATAAAAAATTATTTTTTAGATGTAGCAATTTCATTTCGGAGTGTAGTCCATATATATCCAGTACTTCTTTCCGTGAGTGGTGGTGGATATGGTGTATTTTTCAATTTGTAGTAATCTGATGGAGCATGCATTACAAATTCCATGCATTCCAGTTTGCGTGGGAGATCTTCTTCTGGGCCTATAATGTATGTTTCAGGACTAAATCCTTCATCTGGTGGTGGACTGAAGACCAAATATATATATACATATATTATTTTCTGTTTCTTAAGATTAATAAACTAATTCATTTATACAGTTTTCTATATGATAATCACATCATTCACATATTGTAATTTATGTTTTGATCCTCATAGATCAATTAAAAAAAAAAAAGATTGCCTACAAATAAAGTGGAACAAGGTAGGTGGAATGCAAGTAATAAAAAGTCTTTAAAATAAATAAATAAACTTATACTTACTCTTTATTTTATTTGTAAATGAATAATGTTCTTTTTGAAAAGAATTCACAAGGTTAAAATGTATATCAAAATGTATGATTTATATGCATTTTGTATAGGAAACTTGTTTATTTCAACAGAGATTCATTAAAATATTTCATTGATAAATTGGATATATTACCTTGCCGTAGTAGGCAAGAGCCAAGTAACTGCAGCACTTTTTTCACAGTATTGATCTGTGAGTAAACCACGAATTTGAGCGTAATAAGTCCCTCCTTCTATATCTTGCATAGAAACAATATCTCCCACTTGAAAATAAGTGCCTTTGTAAAACACAAAATTACTTGTAACTGGGGTTGCTGTAGCTGTTGGTGCCTTAACTGGCTAAAAATAAGACAAACAACATAGATTGTTTTTCAATGATAAACGTACAGTTCATTAACGTTCAGTTGCTTAACATACAGTTTTTTTAAATAAATTTCTTCGTCCTTTTCCTTTAGGTACAACTTTGTGTGGAATAGTGGACTTCAAATTGCAGTATCTCGTAATCCTTGTGCTTCTCCTGGTAGGCTTCAGCGATCCTGCCTTGTCTTCATCTTCAGCTTTCGTGTTCGTACTCGTTTCAGAACTTCTCTCTTCTTCGAGACAAGAATTACAAAGGTTACCGGCTTCGGTCGAGTGCCAAAGCGGGGTTTCTTGTGTCCCACACTTGACACATTCGGGTTTGCTGCCGAGAGGCATTTAAGTGTAATTAATTCGATGACATTAATTATTCATTCACGGATAGTCAACCGAATAACGTTCTCTTCAATCTGTTCCGCGACCGTTTTGTAGATTTAATTCCACCCAATTTCATTTTGACTACAAACAGTATGGTATCGAATAAAAATGATCAGGTTTCATGTATATAAATTTAATGGAAAGAAAGGCTGCCTAGATGTCTGGCAAAGTTTTATCTACATTTTCTGTGTTCGTTCTACATACGATATACGATTGATTACAAATAGTTACATGCTCAAAGTGCCACACTTTTCAACAATCACTGAACTATACTAATTCTGGTTTTAATACCAGTAGCGCCATCGGTAGGAAAATGTCCAAGTTTGTAGTGAAAATAGTTCCGGCTGTAGCTGCTAGATAGCGCCACTAAGTAAAGTGTCGATAATTATTACTGCATTAAATATATATTTCTAAAAATGATAAATTAGACGTATTAATTAATATATTGCAGTGGTGTAAAGTAAATAATCGTACTAATAATGTAGTTATGAGAAACGAAGAAGAATTTTTTAAAAAGATATCGGTAGCGCCATCTTACATAAATCGTGGGAACTATTTTCATTAGAAGCTTGGGCGTTTTTCCACCAATAGCGCCACTAGCGCTTCGCTCACAAAGCGGCTCAGTGAGCGTTGCCTTGTGGATCAGAGCAGAGATGGGCAAAACCCTAGACTTGGAATGAATCTGAAGTTTGCCGATATGTTTGTCTCGTTTCCTTCTTTGGAAAATTTTCAAAAGAGGAAAGAAGATAGACATATCAGCAAACTTCAGATTTATTCGAAGCCTAGGGTTTTCCCCATCACTGTTGTGGATGCACCCTATAGCGTCTTACCTAAGGTATATTCGCGCTAGTGTAATTTACTGTTGTTGACAGTAGTTTTGTCAAGTAAAATCCCTAGTATTTCATGAGCATAGTTATATGATAGGTCCTTGAGAATTTAACAAATGAAAATGAATTCCGTTTGCATCCATATAGTATTTATTTCTGATGACATAAACAACAACGTGTAGTATGCAAAAACAATTTTTTATTAAAATCTGATTGATTGGTCTTTCACACAGTGACATTATAATGTACTAAATTTATTAGTATCTGATTTCAATCTCAACATAAATGTACAGTTCTATATTGCCATTTGGTTACTGTATAAAGAGGATGAAAGTATGATATTGCATAAGACTGTATTAAAATCGTTTTAAACTTTACGAAACACACATTGGTTTAGGTACAACTACAAAGTGATGATAAATGAGAGTGTGTAAATATACTTTTTTTTCGATCCCCCTTTTTCTATTGACTTGCCTCTAATCGTTTAATCTCTTTCGAGATTTCAGACTTCCTCGACAATTTATCAAGTATTTCATTCTCTGGATTTTTTAACAACCCAGCCTTTATTTTTTGTTCCAATGTTTCGATTTCTCGAATCTTTTTCCTCAGAGTTTTTAATCTTTTTTGTGGATCTGGTGTGGCAGTATCAGATTCACTTACAGCATTTGCTTTTGGGGTAGGAGTTTGATCATTTGGTATTGATTTTGTTTTAGATTGCACTTTATTATTGTGTGGCAAGGATTCTTTCTTTTGTTCTGGTTCAGAGATACTAGTTTTAGCCAACTCTTCTGTTATACGTTCAGTTGTTTTATTTTTATTCTTTTTCTTCTTCTTTTTAATTTCTGTCTTAACTTGTACCCCAGAAACAGTTTTACTCTTAGCTGCTAATAACGCTTCATGTTTAGCTTTATGCTCCGCAATGAACTCTGGACTTGCACCTATTGGATATATAGGTTTATTTTTTATTTGTTTACCTTTGCTTTCATACCTGAAAAGACAAATAGCAAGAACATTACACATCAAGAAAAAAAGAATTGACACAAATATTATACAAATTATTACATACAGTGGTACTTCTTCCTGTGGTATATAGCCATCTTTGACACGACGTGGCTTACGCCATGTGCCATCTGGACGTTGACTAGCAGGGATGAACGTTCCACCTATAAAAATGTTTGCAAGAAGTAAATTTGATATATACAAAAATGTATTAAACATATAAATATTTTTATTACACTGATTTCATTGAGTTACATTAAACCGAGTATTTATTTTGTATCAGAGAATCTGTTGATGTTTAGTTATGATGTAGAAAAGAATAGATATCAGAATACGGCTTACATTTTTCAGCAATATAGGTTGTTTACATCTTATAGGTTATAAATAGTTCAATCGTTGAAGTAACCGAAGTGTTTGAACGGAGCGAAAAAGGTTATTACCTTGCTCATCTTTAATGTAAGCCGACGCCATCGTTATCTGATACGATCGTTCGCCGTGAATACTTTTTATTGTATTTCTTGATAATTCTTACTATCCGCGTGCCATTTTCCGATCGTGAGGACCTCAACCTTTCACGGATGCATCAAATCTTCTAAATTAATAATGTACATTTTCGTTTTTATACGATTGAAAGATGTCACCTCTGCATTATTTCTCTTGTAGATTTCTATATCTTTAAATCCAATGATAATTTATCGACAGATGATGTCTCTGCATTATCTTCTGTAGATTTCTACACCTTGTATTATGAATATTTTGATTACGTTCTCAGTTGGTATACTTTGGAACATTTACCTACGGAAGATCACTGTATACAGCAACCTTCGTTATCAGCACTATGTCGATAATACAGATTCACATTCAAACGTAATCCCATTTTATTTACATTATTTTCGTTTAATAAGTTATAAAGTAACCAGTATGGCGATTGGGATCCTTATAACAACTATTTATGATTTTCAATAATTTTACAGAAAAAACGAATACAGTCATTTTAAATATTCTTAAAGATTTTCAATGCTTTTTTTTTCTTAATTACAAAACAATTAATCTGAAGTTTTCATTTCATAAAAACTTTTCGAACACGTATACGAACCATATAATTGCATTAAGAACCCGATTTCTTTAGCGATTGCAGAGAAAATTTGTGATTCCCTCTGTGCCTGTGTGACTTACACATCAGAAGTGGATAAAGGGTCGCGACGGGTATGGAAAATAACAGAAAGGGTGAGGGTGGAAGTGAGAGACGGGGAGACTGAAATGGTTCTCGACTGCCGTTACCAGACAAAGAAGCTTGTCAAGGTCGATGATGGACGCCTTCATGAACGACCCTACGGAGCCTCGTACATCAAATTTATTACCTCTATCCTCATTTTCATATTTCATATTTACATTTCTCGACCGCTGTAAATCAACGAATTTATGGGTAATTAGACCTTTGTGCAGCGTGGTCCTTCGAGTCCAAGAGCAATGACTTTTCTGTTTTCATTTTCGTCTTCACATTGTTCACGTTTTGTTCGATAAACTTGTCTGACCACTGACAGCCAGAAGAAATTGGCGTTTCGAAAAATTTGGTGGTTGTTTCAAGTCTTCAACACCCCTCACCTTTAGAATTAATCGTTTCTTCAGGTAATACAAAGGTCGAGAAAGAAACAATCATTGTAGTTAATGTCTAAGAGCAGTTAGGAAAAAATAGAAAAAGATTATCAAGAAAAGAGTGAAATAGATTTTCCTGTGTACATGTCTGGATGACAGAAATATAATTCGTGTGATAAATACTAGGAGCATTTGTGATATAAATTAGAAAAAAAATTAACAATCGTATACACATTATCTCCATACATCTTTTCGTGTCTCTTTGAAACTGGAGCGTATTTCAGCTATTTACTCTTGTAGACTTGTGCTACAATGATTCCCACAGCTCGTTAAATGTTACATTTGCAACGAAACAAAGAAACAAGGTCGATCTGTCGCAAAGGTACATTAAATGTGATAATTTTCATGTTTTTTGTTTGGTGACAGACATGGAGTTTCGAAGGAGCGAGTTTGGTTTCGTTTGCCGTGCGCATCGGCGACGAATTGCGGAAAGAGGATGGCGACAATTAATAGTAGAAAAATCCAAATATGTACATAATGATCCTTTCGCAGTCCTAAGGAGTAGACGAAATGTGCGTATATTTACTTTAGTAGCCACCTGTTGCTGTAACCCAGTTTCTTACGTATACTAACCGGGAAGTTTTTCAACTTTCCAAGGATTCCTGAAATTCTCTCGACCTTTGTGCTGTCGGCCGCTCCAGTAGACTGAATCGCATGTAAATACTTACGCGTAATACGAAAAGACTCTAGAAACAAGGGCATAACTCGATACGTAATCGTGAGAAATCATTTTTGGAAAATATTTGGTTGATGAATAATTATTCAATGCTCTTTTTTGGACCGTTCTGTCATTTGAAATTTTTTTAGGAGAAAATTCATCAACATGCTCGTGTTAATCACGATAATCATACTCATTTGCGTCATATCGTGTTCTACTGTTTCGAGAAAGGATGATGGAAGGAGTGTTAAATTTGTTTAGAATTAAAGAGAAGTAATAGAACAATATCTCACAATTGAATACAATTATTCAACAATTCTTTTGTTCTGTATTTATTGACATGGGTAAAAAGAAATGACTTTAGTCACACTTCAAGAATAATCTTTAAAGGAAGAAGGCGAAATTACTTAAAATTTGTTTGTATCGAAAACTATAGCGTGTTGGTGTTAAATTTTGCGAAATAGTACAAGGATTAGATTATCGATCAATAGAAACCTGTAACATGGTCGGATGAAATGAATATCAATTTAACATCATCAGATATTAAAGCCTGATGATGGAAAAAGGAGAGCATACATAATGCAATGATAAGAGAAACTCAAAACTAATAATTTTTTTAATTTACGTATTCGTACGATTCGCAAAGTTCGTTGGATCCTTCCCCTTCGAGTATCCTGGATTCGATTCAGACACCATAGATCGTGTACATATTTGGAACCACCACCAAGCTGTCCTCGCGTCGCGTTCCTTTCAAATAGAAATTGTGTGTTGCTTTCGATCGGGCTGGCTGCTCTGGCATTTGCATACAATCGCTATTGCGTTTGATCTCGCGTGCAACGAACATCTTTTAACTCTTACTCTTACGCTTTTCATACCGATCCCTGTGCATGTTAATTCGTACGTTTGTACGTTTAATATTCTCCCACACGCGTTCCACGCCCTCTGCTGCTTCCTACACGTGTAGTAGTATGGTGTTTCAAGCATGAAATAATAACGGACTCACCCTGAATGGGGTTAAACAAATTTTGATGGAAGAAACAATTTGATTTTATGATGTTTCGTTAATACGTGACACTAAAATTAAAAAATGTAACGAGCTCAAGTAACTATTAACGAGCATGTTAACGTAATAAATTCAATGTTTGTAAATCCTGATCACCGTTAAAATTATTTCGTGATCAAATATTCAGGTGTTATTCAAAGATATTGTTGCAGGATTAGTATGGCTGGATTTATAAAGGTTTTGGATTAAAAAACGGTGTACAGGGTGGGTGCAGGGTAGGCGAAGAGATAGATGCGTAAACACGCAGATTAGACGCACGGATGTATAGTTAGCCGGACAGACAGACTGACAGACAGATAGATAGGTAGATAGATGGACAGATAGGGGGGTAGATTGATGGATAGATAGATAGATAAATAGATAAATAGACGGATAGGTGGATAGGTAGATAGCCAGTGGTTAAAAGAGGAAGAAACAGTGGCATGGCGCGACGCGTCATTGGTCGTGCACGCGCATTGATACCGATATTTATGCCCGCCAGTTAATCATGTCAAAGTCGTTTGATTTGTCGTTGGCTTTTATGGAGGGGAATTAAAACGTTCATTTTGCCGCAGACACTCGGCAACAGTGTGCTCGTCCTGCTAGTGTTGTTGTTGCTGCTGCTGTTGCTGTTGGTGCTGCTGCCGCTGCCGTCGCGATTGCTCTATGAATTATTTTCTGGACAACCCTTGGATGTAACGAAAGAGAAGGGAGGGCTTTTTGCAAAATTACACACCTCGTTTATGTCAAAATTTTGTACACGTTACGCGTTTTGCTTGTACATACGGATTGGCGTTACTTGTGATTTGCTAAAGTATAAACAATGAAAAAATATACAGGACTGGCCAACTTTCACGGCACGGCCGAAAATGGTGGACCTTTACAGTCTGAAATAAATCGAAACGATGGAATAAATTATCGAGGGATCATTTTTCAAAAAAAAAAAAAAAAATGAGCTCGAAAATTAATCGATTATTGCGTGCACTGGATGGAATGTTGACGTAATAGATTTTACTACCGATCATTGTTTTGGGTTCTGTGCGTGATACGTTGAAATTGTGCGTCCACTATCGGGATTAACCGTCACATTTATTCTCAAGATAAATTAGTCTAATTTACTTTCTTGTGCATCTATTCTTCAGTTCGGAACCGGTTGAAAACGTTCGCTTTTGTGCTGTACGCAAAGCTGTGCTCTCCGCGAATTCAATTATGATATAATATATTGCTTTCAGCGTATTCGGTTCTTTTGATTCTTCAAATGTCAGAATAAATCTTTCTCTTAATTTGTCCAGACTCGCGATACGCACGATAATCCTGATAATGAACAATCCGCGTACATTGAATCCCGTGCAAAAGAAAGTGTAATTACGCCAAGTTTCGGTCGAGTGAGCGCATACTCAATTAACCCTTTCTCTGTCACGACGCTCGAGGGTGGATGTCGTTTGCAAGCTCTTCTCAAAAATTTATAAAGTATTTAATAATTATTCTTTTTCATGTAAAAATCAATGTACAGATACATAATATATATATTATATAAATATATATACATATATATATATATATACATTAAATTAAGGATACTTTCAGTCATTCTTCTAGAAAATAATTCCTCGCATGACAAAAAATTGTATTCATGCCATCCCGACTTATTTGGAGCCGCGGAGCCAGACCCTTTCAGAAAAGGAACTTTTATCTTAACTTTCATCTTAACTTTCATCGGAAGTATCGAATGGTCGGAATTTGCGTAGTATACGTATAAAGCTCGTACGTATGTCAAAATTATTACACCTCGCGTTACATTGTTCTCCGTAGTGTCGTAACCCGGATTGCACGATGCATTTTTTACCCTCTATCTTGTATATAATAGTTTCTTGCGCGAAAACATCTTGGAAAAAGAGCTGGATAGCTTTGACGAAAGGCTCACGTACGCGCCATATCGGCTCGCGTTCGGGCTCCAGTAATATACATAAAGCTTTATTGTCTGCTATCCGTGGAAACTTGGTTGATTGTATTGCCGGACGATAACCGTATCTGTCGTTCTACAATTTTCAGACCGTATCCGATCGGATCCGACTCGGTCCGTCCATGTTCACCATCTATAATTCGGTACTCGATGTATCGGTTCACGCGAACGTGTAGATACGGGTAATCTACAAATCAACGAGTTAGAAGAAAGGTAAACCCAGTTGCGTAATTGTAAAGTAAGGTCTGTATTGTACCACTGAAGGAAACAACTATGA